TGTCAAGCACTTCAAGTAAATTCTTCCCATGGTTAGTAGCATAATAATGTGTTTCTATGTGATGTTACATACATAAACTATTTTGAATACCACAACTATGTTATCTATCACATCCAAACCACTTTTGCAATAGGCACTTAAGGTGCTAGGGGATCTCTTATCCACACACACACACACACACACACACACACACACACACACACACACACGAAAAACTCAATTTTGCTGAAGCTTCCTGAAATTCATGAAATGATTTAAAGAACTTGATGATAGAATATAACATTTAACTAGGAAATTTTCTGTAAGCAAGGAAAAATCCAGCAAAAAAAGTAAGCCTTATTTATGGCCCAATTCAGCATCCTGCACAGAGAAAAATCCTTAAAAATCTTCTCCTTTCCACCCTGGCAGAGAGCCCATACCTTTGCTGGGGTGGAATTTACATGCAGACCCAAAATCTTCTTTCATGAAAATTATGACCTGCTTTTGCCTTTGTCTAGAGTCTTCAAGAATCACTACACTGAGGCAGCTGGGCGCTAGTGGCTCACGCCTGTAATCCTAGCTATTCAGGAGGCTGAGCTCTGAGGATAGTGGTTCAAAGCCAGCCCAGGCAGGAAAAGTCCATGAGACTCTTATCTCCAATAAACCACTCAGAAAACTGGAAGTGGTGCTGTGGCTCAAGCGGTAGAGCACCAGCTTTGAGTTGAAGAGCTGAGGCCCAGAGTTCAAGCCCCATGACTGACAAAAAGAAAAAGAAAAAGAAAAAAGTAAAAGAATAACTATGCTGAGTAGTAACTGCACATGGAATTATTTCCAGAGGTGGTGCAGCACAATGACTTATCGGCTTAAATGAATACTTGGATATGAATACTTAAATACTTAAATGAATACCCTTGGATCAGGCTGGAAATTATTTTTGGAATCATATTATTCTGTTAACATTTTCTAGTGATGCTAAACAACAGTATAAAATAAAAGCTACCAAGCCATTGATTTTCTTAGGAATGAACAGCAGATATTATGAGTTAGCATCCTAACTAAAAGGCCCAGTAGTCAGACTTTCCATTTTCCATGCTCCTGGATGTCCTTAAATTTCAGAGCAGAAGATCAACTCCATTCCATCTGAAAACATTTAAGCAGTGCTGGTCATCCACAGAGATTCCTCCAGAATGTTCCCATCAGACCTGGTGGTGGTTAATCTATGCATCTATAAGAAAAGTTCATAGTCTTTATATTATGATCTTAGTGAAAAGCTTGCAAGAATCTCCCACTATAGAACAAAAAGCACTGTGGGCTTTTATTTTACAACTTCTCTAGTAGATATTTTGTACTACTGAAATTCATAATCATATTTTAGAAACTCTCAAGGAATGTTCTATTTTGTACTAAAAGACATTACAGATGCATCCTAATGCATCTAGTGGAAGTGAACAGTCTACCTGTAGCAGGCAGGAAATTATGAGGTGAATGAGGTACGTTGCCTCTCACGCTGGTTCTCCCCAGCATACAAACTCCTCTTGAGAGTGTGGCCAATAGCCAGAGCTGAGAAATTTTGGAGATACGAAGGATGCTCATACTGTGATACATACAAGTGGCACTGAGACATATAACATACAAAAATTCAATGATTTTTTAAAACCAACATTGCCTATCAGCTATGAGAGTTATAAAATGCAAACAGTTCTTTTTGTTTGATAGTGGTGTTCTGGCAGACTTTTCACCAAAATCAAAGCAAAAAAGTAAAATGGTAAACTCCATCTCATTGATGTGTAGATGGGTCACCACTAACATGAGCTGTGGACCCTTTAGATACGTCTGAGTAGCTTTTTTATTTTATTTGTGTCACTCTTGGGACTTAAATTCAGGGCCTGGGTGCTGTCCTGCGCTTTTTTTTTTATAAATTTTATTTTATTTTATTTGTGAACATACTGTACAGAGGGGTTACAATTGCATGGGCAGGATAATGCGTACATTTCTTACCAAGCATTGCAGCCTCCTCCTTTGTTTACCCTTCCCATCCCTTCCCAGCCTCCCCCCTCCCCCCCATCCCAATCCTTCTCCTTCCCCCCTCCCCCCCACCCCCTTCCCCCCCTCCCCGCACCGACGTTGTAAAGCTCGTTTTGGACATGACAACTTGTACTTCTCATTGTTGCATCAGATCCACCTGTATCCTTAAACAACTGGTTTTCCCCCATCTCCTCCACAAGTTATACTGACATCAAATATAGTGAAAGCAGGGGTTATACTGTGGGGGAGGGACATACAAAGCAACAAAGAGATAATCTTATAAATGCGTTAGAAACACATGTATGAAAGAAAAAACATTAAAATACATATCTAAGGGTTCATTTTCCTGACATCACATTATCTGTCCTGCGCTTTTATGCTTTGTTGTAGTCAACTGGAGATGAGTGTCTCACAGACTTTCCTCACTCTGTTGGCTTTGAACTGCAATTCTCCATCCAGCCGAGCGGTGTTTTGTTTTGTGTTGTTTAAAACCAATGACCTTTGGATAATAGGAGTCTAGGCAATTATAGTACAATTTCCAACAGGCATTACTTTACAAATGTAAAGTAGTGAATAAACTTTTAAGACTGTGCATGGGAAAACATTTTTTGGGTGGGCATGTGTGCCAGTCATAGGGCTTGAACTCAGGGCCTGGGCGCTGTCCTTGAGCTTTTGTGCTCCAGGCTGGCATTTTGCATTTGAGCCCCAGCTCCACTTCTGGTATTTTTTGGTAGATAATGGAGATAAGAGTGTTACAAGCTTTCCTGTCTGTGCTGGCTTCAACCCTGAATCCTCAGATCTCAGCCTCCTGAGTAGCTAGAATCACAGGTGTCAGCAGCCAGTGCCCAGCAAGGCTACATTTTTTTTCCACATAAAAATTCCTCAAACATTTTCCATTGAGTTTATTGGAACCTGGATATCAAGATGTACCTTAATTTCATAATATTCTGAACATTTCCTAAATCTATGCAAATCACACTAGAGATTCTGTTTTGGTATTGTAGAGGAAATCATAAATTAAAATATCATGTTATATGGTAACAAGTTCTAAATGTCTTAACCATACCCAATTTCTATTGAAAGAACATAGTGTCCACATCAAAATTTAATGATTTATTTTGTATATTCTATTAGTTTTACTCATCAATCATGTATTCCCAATACCATCAAAAAGAAATTGTTTCTACTTGCCATAAAATACCATAAGAGAAACATTTTATTAGCTATAAAATACTAGAGTGTTCTGATCCATTTTTAATAATCCATTGCAAGTAGCATGACTGAAACATTACCAATACTGCAGACAAATTAATTAAAAACTAATTACACCCATTATGAACTCTAAGAATAAGCTATCTATTCATCACAAAAAAGATGATAAAATAAGACTTTGTGTAACAAAAGGTATTTTCCTTTTGGAAAAATATTTATCTATGAACTCTTCATCAATTTATAAAGCAATAGTCTTTATTTACTATATTGGAACAAATGAAAATAGAAACTCAAAATAACCTCACAAATGTCAACTACAATCAAAGTTAGAATGTACCTTATCAAAATGAGTAATTGTACAACACAGTGTTCATAAATATGTAGACATTTATTGTACAACACAGTGTTCATAAATATGTGGACATTTGGTAAAATTATCTGGCTCAGTTAAGAATTGAAAACATATTTGTTGTTATTTTGGCATGTTGAACTGGTCTGATCCACTCCTTATTTATCTTTTTTTTTATGAAGATACAAGATACGCAGAAAATTTATACACAAGATTTTTTTTTCTGTAGGTCAATGTGTTCAGTAGATGCAGGGAAAACATGTCATCAAGAGTCATCATCACATAAGGAAGTGATATCAAAATGCTAAGACTTAATACCCATTTCTATGAGAAATGATAGAGTTATGCATTCTCATATAAGCTCCATCTTTCCTTGTAAGCATTAAGTCTTGGCCTTCCTGATGGAATTGAGTAGGTCTGATTATTCTTATTTACTAACCTGGGTCAAAGCCACCACCTCCATACATAGAACCTTCCCTTCCTGTGGTAGGTTTTAGGGCAGAAAGCATGATCAACCTTCAGATGTTCTCATGCTGATGAATTGCAATCAAGGGAACAGTTTTCCTTCCACATTGTGTTCCCTCTACCCACAAGTTTCTTTACTTGGTAAACATTTATTTAATTCTGAAATTATGCCTTCTTTGACATAATTCTGCTGATGGTCCTGCCAGCATTTTCTTTTCTTTTGTCAGTCATGGGGCTTGAACTCTGGGCATGGGCACTCCAGGATTTTCTTTTAACCATCATGGAGGACCCTTATTGTATCAGAGACACATCTATTTCCTCTTACCAAAGGCAGTCATCTTTATACTCTCCACACAGAACCTGGTACAAGACCTGGTATAAAACAGTTGTACAGCTGGGCGCCGGTGGCTCATGCCTGTAATCCTAGCTACTCAGGAGGCTGAGATCTGAGGATCATGGTTCAAAGCCAGCCCAGGCAGGAAAGTCTGTGAGATTTTTATCTCCAATAAACCACTAGAAAACCGGAAGTGGTGCTGTGGCTCAAGCAGTAGAGAGCTAGCCTTGAGCTGAAGAGCGCAGGGACAGCACCCAAGCCCAGAGTTCAAGCCCCACAACTGACAAAAAAAAAACAAAAAAGTTTTACAATACTTTAGAAAAAAAAAAAAACAGGTGCTGGTAAGTCAGGTTGGTAAACATAGCTACTTGAGAGGCTGAGATTGGTAGGCTCAAATTCAAGGCCAACATGAATATATATACACATGAGATCCCATCTCAACCAATAACCTAGTGTGGTGTTACACAACTATCATCCTACTTATGATGGGAAACATAAAATAGGTGGATAATGGTGAGGGAAAGCAAGACCTCATCTGAAAAATAACCAATGCAAAAAAAAAAAAAAAGGGCTGGAAACATGAATCAGCAATGCAGTGCTGGCCTAGCAAGAACAAGGCCTTGAATTCAAATCCCAGTACAACTCAAATCCCCTCCTCCCCAATTTCTTTAAGCTTTAAATTGAGTAAGTGTCCCATAGGCCAGATAACAGGTAAGAAAAGCTAACTATTGTAACTCTTCATGATCCTGTCAGTGGGGAGAACAAAAAAAAAGTTACAAAGCTGAACACAAAGTTAATAAAAATGATAAAGAGGGATTAAAATGATAGCTAACAAGATGGAAAGAAGTGGCCGAAACCTAACTAATACACCGTGGCTAATCAGAAACAAACCCTGACAAGGCAGAGAATTTCATCCCTGAATGATTAAAGATTTCTTGCTCAACTATATCAATTTCTGGTATGTACGTTCTTATAGGACAGAAAGTAAAACAGGGAGGATCTGATTCATAAAGAGAAGGCTGTGAGAGAAAGAAACGCAGCACACACTGGTGATTCGGCTGTTTGTTTCACAAAAGGGTTCCAGCATATTCTACCCTTACTGACAGTCTGGTGAGGACTGTTAGAAATAGGAAGTGTTCATCAGGTCCCTATCTCATACTTCACACCAAATGCTAGGCCAAGAGTTCTCACAAATTATCCCATTTTGCTTGCCCGAGTTAGATACTGTGGTTCCCATTTTTCTGGGAAGGAAATGGAAGCTTGGGAATGATTTTGGGAGGTTGGAAAGTTTAGCAGAAGAACTTTTACCAACCCAAGTTCTGGAGCTGTGCTATTATAAATATTCTGTAAGTAGCTTTTGGAAATCTCTGTAACTCACCTACTTCCTGCATCACATTAAAAACTCATTCCCATGTGAAGACGCTTTAAGCTAGCTCACATTTGCTAAATTGTAATTTGAGGATTCCTTTCACATGAAGTTGGAGAATCTGGTTGTATTCTCTGGGCATCTGATGGAAACCGCGTTTGGGTAATGTGTTGTCATAGTAGTGGTGGCTGACAGGTGTGTCTTCTAGAGTTTTCGAGAAGGGCCAGAAGCCATAGAGCTTCACGTTGGCACACAGTTCCACTGCCACACTTGTGATCATCAAGCCGGTCGACAAGCGGTATGCAGTCACCCCTTTAGTTCTCCAGAAAAGAGCAAGGTGTTTCAGGTACTTGGGATGGAAAAAGAGAACCTTTTGTCTTGCTTTAGATTCTTTGAGTGTGTAGTATACTTTAAAAGAGGTGCCAGTGTTGGCCCGGAAGGAAAATGCTGGAAGAAGAAGGAATGCATCTCCGTAGGTGGCTATGTCCTCCAAAAATACTGCCTTCTTCTCCTTCAAGTTCCCATATCTGGCAATTAAAAAGAAAAAGAATCAAAACAATGATGAAATAATAAAGTGAACAGCTCTGATAACATGAAATGGAATCCAACGGAAACATTTTATGTATCCTATTTATAAAAGAGAGAATCAGGTAAGCCGAGAGGGTAAACGGGAGTGGGAGAGATGGGAGAAAATGATGGAAGAAATGGCATGGATACATTGTACTCGTCTGGGCACTGGTAGCTCACGCCTGTAATTCTAACTATTCAGAAGGCTGAGATCTGAAGATCATGGTTTGAAGGCAGTCCAGGCAGCCAAGTCCATGAGACCCTTCTCTTCAACTAACCACCAAAAAAGCTGGAAGTAGAGCTACTGTGGCTCAAGTGGTAGAGCACTAGCCTTGAGAAAAATGCTCAGGGGCAGTAGTCAGGCCCTGAGTTCAAGCACCAGGACTGGCATACAGCCACCCAAAAAGGATACATTTTACTCATAAACTGACTTGTTGAATTAAAACTCCTTTGTACCAGTACTTAACTAATAAAAATTTAAAAAATTATAAATAAACAAACAAATAAGAAAGCCCACAGAGTCAGAAAAATTCAGTCAAGTTTCTTTTGGAAAACCTAAAATATGTAACATGCAAATATGGATAGCTGCTGTTAAATTTTTCCTTTATGAAATTGTGCTATCACTGTATGATTTGCATGATAGTAAGTTCCTGGAAGCACAGTTGTATTTGGAAAGCAAGCACTCCCAAAGAAAGTAGGTACAACATGCTTTTGTCTCTCAAGAGATTCTAGAACTATTTGGAGGGTCCTATTCTATTAATGACCATTATCAGGCACTTTTTATTGGTGAAATTATTACTTGAACTTGGGGGCCTTGTGCTTGCTAATCAAATGCTGTATCACTTGAGCCACACCTTGAACTCTTTTTATTTTCACTGTCTTTTTATGTAGGGTCTCACTTTTTACCTAGGCTTGCCTGGACTAACATTCTCCTAGTTACTCTTCTGGCACAGCTGGGGGCCATTGCTCCCAACGTTTTATTTATTCAGAGAATCTCATGAATTTTTTCGCCTGAGCTAGCTCCCAACTACCAATTCTCCCAGTCTCTGCCTCCCAAGTACCTAAGATTACAAGCATGAGCTATCATGCTTGGCCTTTTTTTTTTTTTGATGAAAATAGTACAATAAAACTATGTGTGGGATTTTAAAAAAATGAACCAATTCACATTTTGCAGTAACTACATTGTAGAAATGGACATGGAAATTATCCAACATAAGGACTGTATTTTACCAAGTTGTCCTAGGGCTTGCACTGAACTGTCTAGAAGTGTACCCCCCCAACCCCCCCAAAAACACTACCAAGATAAAAGAGAAATGTAAAAACTCTGAAAGAAAATGAAACTAACTTCACTATTATTAAAGATGGAGAGATAAATACACTCTCATTTAGAAACATGGAGCTCATGACACTGTAAGTAAAACGGAGTCACAACTCTGATGAAACACAACCCTGTTGGCATGCCAGAAGATGCAAATATATTCTTTTGTGTTTTTCCATAAAGCCATTTTGCAAGTCAGCCTCAGAAACAAAATGAGTCCTTGGTGAGAGAAAAATATTCAACAATGGAAAAGAGTTTTTTTCTAGCTATGAAACTCAGAGGACTTACTTCAGTGTAATGATACTGGGGTTCACAGTCACAAGATTGGTTTTGCTGCCCACATCTTTACTAATGTTTCCTGTGGTTGGAGGCAGGTTGCACCTGAAATATGGAAGGGAAGGTATTGAAATACAACTTGTAAAGAATAAGTGGACCTACATGCACATGCGCGCATGCACACATACACACACACACACACACACACACACACACACGTGTGCGTGCACGCACATCAGATGGCAGTGCATCACGAAATCCTTGGAATCCAAGTGGTTTCACTTAAAACTACTTTGACAAGTTCTGAACCCCTGGCTGATGTTTCAACATTACCGAAAGTGTACAAACTTGGTAAGTGCTTTCAAATATCAAGATCAGAAATGACAATGATAAGTGACTTTTGTAAGTATCCAAACCAAAAATGACAATCATACCTTGCCTAGTTTTTGAAGTTTCCAGTCCTTTTATTCAGATGGCTATTTATATTGGTTGTATTGGGTTTTATTGATTCTATTCAAACAGTCATCTACCAGCCATTTAAATATGAAAAAAAATGAGGCATTGCAAGTAATTGAATAGCATCTGCCAGATGCAGGAACTGCAGAGTTGTATCAAAACCTCCCCGTTCCCACAAGGAGAGCTTTGCCACAAGTTATAGTATTAATAAATAAAACCCTAATATTTTTATAGTGATGTTTTGATCCTTTGGATCTTTTTGTCCTTTGAGAACTAATTTGTTTTTATGTAGGAAAACAAATTAAGCATTCTAATTTGGGTATATTCCAATGACACAAAAAAGGGAGCGGTGGTTATGACTCTCTAAATATATTTCCAGCTCAGAACATGGAGCGTTTCATAAGGGAAGCTGTTCAGAGATACCATCTTTAATACAACTGGACTGAAATATTCCATTCTATGCTCCATGACATATGAATAAATGAAACATTTATTTCCTTTTATATAAAAGGTATCTCACAAAATAAATATTCTGTATAGATTGGGGGACCACAGAATAACCTCAGAGGTCCTCTTGTGACAAATCATAGTGTTGTCTTCTTTTACAAAATCAAGAGATTTCCAATACAGCATTACAGAAGACCTCTTGGGGAAGCATGGGTATGTGTGTTTATGTATACACATTGCATATAAATGTGACTTGGGTATATTCATCACCTATGCATAACTATGATATTAATATGTGTTGACATAGAACACATACATGCATACAATATGTGGAATATGAATATAAAGTTATATAAAATATGTACACACAGTGGTATAAGTACAGTACCAGTTTAGTTAATGATGACTTTTGTTAGTTCATAGCTACGATTATTTGCAAAAAACCTCTAAGTAATTCCATTGTTAATAAATTATCAGCATGCTTATAAGTTATCATCATGTTTATAAATTATCAGACAATATAAGCACTTAAAAAATTAAGCAACTTTGGATGAGTGAGAATGTTAACATTGATCAAGATGCATTGTATTCATAAACTGCTGTACAACTACTTAAAGATAATAAAAATATATTTTAAAAATTAAACAACTTTGCATAACACCACCACAGCTAGCCCTCATTTTGCCTTTTGGTCTGATCAGCCAACTTGATAGAGAACTCTATGTGCAAAAATTTCTGACTTCAGCAAAAGGAGAACCTTGGAAACACAGGCATTTATTTTGGAGCTATAAATCAAACGAGTGTTGAGAGTTTTGTTTTGGACTTTGAAATCTAAATGTGTATCCCTGATACTTGGTATAATGTACAGTAAAATGAATGTTTAGGCTTCACGCTTAGCATGTTGTTTGTGGAATTTTAAGTCTAAAAAGTCCACTGCAAGCCAGAAGTTGATGGCCCACATCACTAGCCCTAGCTACTCAGGAGGCTGAGATCTGAGAAGAGCAGTTCAAAGTTAACCCAGGCTAAAACATCTGTAAGACTCTTTTTTGTTGTTAGTCATAGGGCTTGAACTCTGGGCCAGGGTGCTGTCCCTGAGCTCTTCAGCTCAAGGCTAGCACTCTACCACTTGAGCCACAGCATCACTTCTGGTTTTCTAGTGATTAACTGGAGATAAGAGTCTCATGGACTTTCTTGCCCAGGCTGGCTTTGAACCAGGATCCTCAGATCTCAGCTTCTTGAGTAGCTAGGATTACAAATGTTAACCACTGGTGTCCAGCTTGTGAGAATCTCACCTCCAATTAGCTACCAAAAGAGCCACAAGTGGAGTTGTGGCTCAACTGGCTGAGTGTTTCTTTGAGCACAAAAGCTCATAGGCCTTGAGTTTAAGTCCCAGAACCGGCACACCCACACACAAAAGTCTATTGCATGAACAACTATTTATCTTCATTATGACTTTTTTCACATTGAAAATTTGAACAAAATGGTCAGATCATTCAGACATTCAGATCCTGACTACTGAAATGTCAGCCTTGAGGAACACATTCAGTAATCAGGCTGTCAGACTGATTTAAATAAATATGAGATTTACATATGAGATGGCAGTGTGGGGGGAACTAATTATTGAACACTTAGTTATTGTGACTTTGTGTTCAATTTGTAGAAAGACTAGCAATAAATCAATAGGGATCTAAAGGTCTCTGATGTATGAAATCAATGCTCTTAGAACAGAAAGAGGCAAATTTCCACACACTCTTTAAAGAGGTGCATTTCAGCTGAAATCCATCCTCAGAGGGATGAATCACCTCTGTGGTATTCTCAAGGTGGAGATGCTTTACAGTCTGGCTTATTAGCATGGTCATATACAGAAACCAACTAGCTAGTGTTGAGATGAAAATATTTTTTTATTGTGAAAATACTGTACAGAGGGGTTACAATTACATGGGCAAGATAATGAGTACATTTCTTATCAAGCATTGTAGCCTCCTCCTTT